AGGTTTCTTTCAATTGAGAATATTTAAATATAATTTTTAAAGGATGAATTAAAGATTAAATATCAATAATTGAATAGAAGAAATCTCAATTAGATGTCAATTTTTAATTAGATAAAATACGAATTAATAATTAAATTTTATTTATTAAAGAATACTACAATTATTGATTAATCATTAATGAGATAATTAAAAAGTTTGGATCCCTGCAATTTAAGTGAACAGATGAAGTGATTAAAGCATGACGTTTCTCAAAGCAAGAGAGTATTATTATTATTGTTGAAAGCTTCTACGTAGACACGCATTCCTGAATTGTTATTCAAAGTAATCGTGATGTATCCTGTCGATGGGAATACAATCGCGCCGAACAATGCACCCTGCACTACGGTGATTGCATACTCACGACCACTCTGCGTTTCCATCTCCTTATCTGCACAGCATCTTATTCCACAACATTTTCCTCGACGCGTGAGCTTTCTTGAAATTCGCGCAACTATTTGCTAGCCACTGAGTTACAGTTGTTCTCTTGAATTTAGACAATATTATCGATTCTCAATTGATCCGAGGGAGTACGATGGAAAATAATATTTGCTCATACAAAATTGCGAACGTGACGCACTTCCGCCACAGCTACCGAAGGACGAAGGTTAGACTCGAGACAATAATTTAGTTTGGAATATCGTCACGTACGATCCATTGCGACGCCCGCGAACGATCGATCTTTGTAGCGCGTCGATGTTGTAGTCTTTGTTGAACGAAACCGGACGTTGAACGATTTAGTTAGAAAAACAGCGAAGATTCCCCAATCTCCTCTTGTCCCATCATATGAAGTCCGTGTATTTCAGTCGTTGACCCACGCCGCGTGGGCTTTATGTTGATTCTTATACCAATCATCTAATTATTTTTAGCGTATTTGTTCCGAGAGATAATTAGCAGCTTAATAGATTGATCGTTGTTTTTAATTATTTATAAGTCTTGTAATATGGTTGTTCTATGCAGAACTAAAAAGTGTTACTTTATCGTTTCGTGTTACCTCGAACACAATTCAGTACAATCATTTTCTTGATTATACAAAATGGCTAGGCTAATTTCGTAAACATTATTGTCTCGACAGATTTCCATTCCATTGGCACAGTTTGGGATGCAGTTATCAGAAAAGGCACTGCTCACGCGAAGACTGATTCGTATGTTTCACCAAGCTGCCGATGTCCTCCTTTGTATTCATTTCACCTTGGATCCGTATATCTATGTGCTGTTGAGGATGCAACGACCACGATTCCGCCTTTTAAAGCCCATCTGCAAATTCTGTTGGCCAGCCAGAAGCCGATCGAGTTCGTTTACCGGTGAGTCTTATGAAACGCAAACTATATATACAGAGGATATGAGAACAATCAGTCATTAAGACACTTGCAACAAAAGATATTGCTCGTCGTAATTATGTCTAATTCTATATTTTATGCTCCCAATTAATTAATACTTCGCTCTTAAAAAAATCAATGATCAAGTATTAAAGGAAGATTGATCTGCTTTCAAATAATTTATAATTACATTTTAAGAAATCTTGAAAATATTATTTTATAATATCTTGATGATAAATTGGAAAGTCTACAAAAGATCTACTAAAATCTTATACACTGTAGGGAATGATGTCT